AAGAAAGAAAGAAAGAAAGAAAGAAAGAAAGAAAGAAAGAAAGAAAGAAAGAAAGAAACTTATGAATAATTTCTGGAATTTCTCATTGAATATTTTCAGAATATTTGTGAATCATTGAACCCTCAAGAAAGTACAGCCACACATAAGGGAGCGTGACTTCAGTGGGTAATTAGCTCAGCATTAATTTCCTGGTTCCCATCACTATAGTAGCATGTTAAGGCCACAGAATTCTTTATACCATTCTTAAAATCTTGTGTAAGCTTGAAATCATTTTAACTGGGAAGCAAGAAATAAAAGATTTCTAAATGATTAGGCATGGCAAATAGGTTTGGTTAGGGCTGTTGTGCCGTAGACAGGAGGTGGTGGGGATGCCTGCATAGCCCAGAAAGGGAAACCCCTCACCAGGCCATAAGGTACACCTCTTGTTCCCTTAGCTGCTGAGGTGAGGGGCAGAAAGTTTCCACTATGGCAGAAGAGCCATCCAAGGGAGACAGGCACCTTGAGAGAAAGCTTCTCACCTCTGCTGCTTTGGGCCATTATTACAGATACAGGTTTGTGCAGTTGAGTCTGACCCTTGACCGTTGACCGTAGGCATCACTGCACCTACAGTAAGTCATATGTCCATCAGTATAAGAATAAATCAAGGATGAGTTCATTGCTCAGGATGGTAGGTACTAAATCAAGACAGGAGAGGCCCTGAGCCTAATGGCTTGGGGTTCAACTCAGATTTTTTGGATTTTGTTTTTTTTTTTGTTTGTTTGTGTTTGTTTTTGGTTTTTTTGTTGTTCTTCTGATGGTTTTAGTGTTGGTATATTTTTATTAGAATTAAGTCTAGAGAAGTAAGTTAATCTCACCTAAATTATCAGGTGAGTTTGGAATATAGATGCTCTTGACAGAATTTTTGTTTGTTGTTTATTTGTGTGTGTTTTCACATGTGCATGTAGAGCCCAGAGGCTGGTATCAGCATCTTCCTCATTTACCTTATTTTTTGAGACAGGGTTTCTCACTAAACTAGAGCTCACCAGCTCACCTAGACTGGCTGGCCAGCCAGCTCTAAGGATCTCCTGTCTCTGCCTTGCTGGCACTAAGCACACAATATTGTACAATTTTTTTTACATAGATGCTGGTGATAGAACCCATTTTTCTGCTTTGGACATGTATTTTATGATTATTTTCTTTTCTTATTCTATATTTTTCCCCTTGTGCTTTGTGTTTATCTAGATCAGTTTCATTAGAAATGTCTCTTTGAAGAAAAAGACATTTTGGATTTATACCTACTATTGGTTCTAGTTTCATTTTGGCTTTTATTTTCTTGGAATTTCTGCTGTTGTACTTGTTTCATTTTTGTTTCTTTCACTTTGCTGCATTTCCTTTTCCTATCATCTTAGGTAAAACATCTGTATGCAGACTTGTTTCCTGGCAACTGCATGCAGACATATACATCTCTGTGAACTGCTATTTACCTCCCATGTTGACACCAATGCTCCCATAGCTACTTAGCTCTTAGTACTGTGACTCCCCATTGTCTTTTTATTTTCTATATATCCACAATTAAGGCTCATGGGATGAGTGTCTCTTCTGTGCCTTTTCCTAGGAAGGCATAGAAGTCTATCTATATAGAAAATATACTCCCTGTGAGAGTACTTTTATGTTCTAGCCTTTCAGAGTATATTCATACTTCTGCCATGACCAAGAGTGCTTTTCCGATGGCCGTCTGTGCTAGGTCTATTTTTCTTTTAATATACATTTACTATTATTTAGCAGTTTGCAGATAGTAATTTATATTTACAGTCCTACCACCAGCCCTATGCTCAGGAATGTTGCAGGTACTTTCTCAAAGTGAGTTCCCCATGAGATATAAGCTCATGTGATGGGTTCTTATAAATCTCTTTTTTAAAAAAAAAATTTATATATTTATTATGTATACAAGATTCTGTCTGTCTGTATGTCTGCAGGCCAGAAGAGGGCACCAGACCTCATTACAGATGGTTGTGAGCCACCATGTACTTGCCGGGAATTGAACTCAGAACCTTTGGAAGAGCAGGCAATGCTCTTAACCACTGAGCCATCTCTCCAGCCCCTCTTATAAATCTCTTACTTAAGAAATGCATTCTTAGGTAGCACATGATTGATGTGCTTTGTAAAGGTGAGGGCAGCAAGACTAAGTGGACGGAGGCAGTGCTACAGGCTGGCAGTTAAATTAGATGAAAAACAAGAAGGAAAATGGCAAATAGTAAGTGTTCTTCAACTTCTATACAACTAAATATCAATGCTGCTTGCCCTAGCATTCAGAATGATGACAATGTCTGCATAAAACAGAAATCATTATTGAGAATGTCAGGTGTTATCACTGCACTCATACCTCCATAGAAAAGCACCTTGATATGCATTGTGGAAGGTCGCTATAATGATTGCCTATTGAAAATTACATGTGACTATGCTAAAATACGTGAGTTTTTATTGTGTCTTATCTTTTCTGTAGCCCAGAAATTGGGCCTCTTGCCACCTCCCCCATTGCCACTGTCGTCAGATGAATGGGAGAGAGTGAAGCAGAGATCCCTCCTACAAGGGGACTCCATGCAACCATGCCCGATATGTAAAGAAGAATTTGAGCTCCATCCTCAGGTACATAACAGAGCTTTAGATCAGCCAGGCTCTGCATCCCCAGTATTAGTCCCTGAGCCACCCAGTTCCATGCTCCCTTGTAACTTTCAAATACTTAACATTTTCTCTACTACCCTTAAAGTGTGTGTGTGTATGGCTGAACACCATCACTTGACAGTGTCCACTTACTGGTGTGACACTAAGTACAAGTATGCTATTTGCATGAAAGGATGCTTTGAATATCTTCAAAGAATTTATGGGAGAATCCTGGTATAAAATGGAATCTTTGTCCACATAACTCTTAATATAAAATGGCTGGTCATCCCGATGCATAGAAAGCTCGTGACCCTATCACACAGACCCACTGCTGTGCCTGACTAAACTGCCAGCTCCAAGGAGCCAAGGTCACTCATGCTTCAGAATTTGGGGAGAAATATGGTTTTGCTCAAGGCTTTTGCATAGGGTGTAGCCTTAGCTTCCACATGGTAGGCACTGAGACAGCAGCTGAGAAACCCAGCATATAGCCAGGCTTGGGTCCCAGTTGAGGACCCCAAGCTTCATGGGCTTGTCCTGACCTCTCAGACTTAAAAATGCTTCACTATCAGCAAGGAGCTCACAGCCATTTTTGCTCTTCAGTAATGTGAATTAAGATGCTTGAAGTATACTTTCCTTCTAGCTCTCTAAGAGGACTTAATCTTATGTAGGAGTTGGATGTTGGGAAGATTCAGTTAGCCATTGAACCACAGAATTGTCATATGTAGGAAAGTTTGTAATTTTGTGTCGGAGGGCAAGATAATTAAAGCTGCAAGGAATCATCCAGCATCAGCAACCTCATTTATTGTCTGTACATGTTTAGCCTGGTTGTATGAAGGATGAAAACTTAATATTTCAGGTGTTATGTAAGCATTTCACTAAACTTTGTCATTTTATTTGGCTAAAGTACTAACAGCATTGTATTAATCTTGCACTTAGTATTCCTGTATTGGATTTTTTTTTTTAGTTAAAAACAGTTTTTCTGAATTAGAGAGATGGCTCAATGGTTAAGAGTATTTACTGGCTGTTCTTCCAGAAGACCCAGGTTTGATTCCAAGTACCCACATGGTGGCTTCCAACTCTAGTTCCAGGAGATCCTATGCCCTCTTCTGACTTCCATGGGCACCAGGCAACAAATCAGACATACATGCAGGCAAAACACACTCGCGTGCGTACACACACACACACACACACACACACACACACACACGAATAAAAATAGAAATAACTTTCTCAATTACTTTCAAGATACTTTTTTTGTTGGTTTTTTTTTTTGTGTGTGTTTTTTTTTATTATTTGTTTGGGGAGTGTTTTTTCTTTTTGGTTTGTTTGGTTTGGGTTTTTTGGTTTTTTGAGACAGAGTTTCTCTGTGAAATAGTCCTGGTTCTCCTGGAACTCGTTCTGTAGACCAGGCTGGTGTCAAACTCACAGAGATCCTCCTGCCTCTGCCTCCCAAGTACTGGGATTAAAGGCGTGCACCACTACCATCCAGTTCAAGTAATTTCTTATCTCTGCAGTAGATGACACCATCTAACAGTGAGAACAGAACTCAGGTGATTCACAACAGACCAACCCAGAAATATGACAAAATGTAAATGAAGTGTAGACCTCACTTGTGTAACTATCACCATGAACTGTTTACCTATAATGAATATATGGGTATCTCAAAGTATAATATTCTAGTATTATTTATTAGAATTATGTAAGGCTTACATTGTCTAGAGCAGAATGGTATCTGTTGATAAAAGACTTTGAAAATTATATTAAAAAATAACTGAGTCCACAGATGATTTTAATACAATAATTAAATTTAAGCTTACAGTTGGCAGGGTCCAGAAAAAGGTTTTAGGGGCTAGAGACGTGGCTCACAGGTTAAGAGCACTGGCTACTCATCCAGAGTACTGGGGCTCAATTCCTAGTACCCACATGGTGCTTATATCCACCTCTAACTCCAGTTCCAGAGGATCTAATGCCCTCTTCAGGTCTTTATGAGTACCCTATGCATGTGGTACACAGACACACATGCAAGCAAAACACCCATGTTTCTAAAATAAAATAAATATTTTAAAAAGATTTTAGGAGTTTATGAGCTCTATTCTGAAATTCCTTCCCTTAATCCCACTTAAGAAAAACACAGAGTGAGCAAAGCCACAGGGTAGGTCACTGAAAATGGTGGGACGTGTATCTTTCCCACTCACCTGCCCGTGGTTATGGTCTAAAATCCTTTCTCCTTATTGGGTCTAGGCTAGTTTTGATTTTTGGTTTTCCAGGTCAAAACATCACTGTTGGGTGGAGAGTTTGAGTCAGAAGAGTGGCATTTTCTCATGAACATATTTTCTCTCCATCCAAAAACTCTCAGAATTATGTCATAATAAGCTGTGATTTTAAGTTGAGGAGTGTAATTTAGCTGAACAAAACCCTATAAAGATGTTTGCTTATTGTGTCTCTGCTCCTTCTCCTACCAAGTCCACACCATGTGGACGGGTTCCTTCCTGTCCCACCCTATCTACCTAGCAGTATCTACCTTGGCACTCCTTTTACTGGATTAATATCAAGTACGATGTGTTTTATGGTATTGGGTCATTGGCTTTGTTTAGATGATACGCTTATACTATATTAAACTTAAAAAAGTGCTCAGCTGTCTGAATGTTACCTTCAAGCATCCAGATGCCCTTCTAGAGGATGCATTACTAACCTAGGACTCTGCTCTCTCCGGGTGGACAGGTGCTGCTTTCCTGCTCACACGTATTCCACAAGGTAAGGAACCCCACCCTGGGCCTGGCCTCCTTCCCTCACTCATTGAAAGAGCCATTTGTTGATCCATGAGCACCATTTGTAGTCAGAAACATGGCTTTAGGGTAGACTGCAGCTCATCCTGTTGTGAAAATCCTAGATTCTGTGACAGACCTGCAGATGTTTGTGTAGCAGATTGTTAGTGTCGCACACCAAAGCTGCTGATAGCTTGCTTTCTGCCGGCTGTTTGCACGGCAGTCTGACACGTAGCGTTTCACCTTTACGCCACTTGACTTTCAGAGGTTTTTGAAGTCTCTGCATGCATGTTCTTGTGGAAAATCATTTTTGAAACAGGTTTACTGAGGAAGGTGCTAACATCTGATTGAAGCTACTTCATAATCTAAATTGGACTGAGTTTCACTTGAGAAAGAGAACACTAATTACATTAGAAGTAAAAATGTTGTTTATAAGTAATGACTTATAAGGTTTTAAGTGAAATCCTTTTCTTCAGGCATGCCTTCAGGCTTTTGAAAAGTTCACAAATAAAAAAACCTGTCCCCTCTGTAGAAAGAACCAATATCAAACCAGAGTGATACATGATGGGGCCCGCCTGTTCAGAGTAAAGTGTGCCACCAGGTAAGAGTGTCCTCCATGCCCTGCAGAGGGGAGACAAATGTTTGTAGCTCAGACTGTGATTACTAACCCAGAAGGTCACTAGGGCAGCTCAGGCTGGGAGGAGTACTTGTTAAAATAAGGCCATTAGGGGCTGCAGAGATGGCTCAGTGGTCAAAACCACTAACTGCTCTAGAAGACCCAGGTTCAGTTTCCAGCACCCACATGGTGTGACTCACAACTGTCTGTAATTCTAGTTCTAGGGAATTGGATGTTCTCTCTGACCTCCATGGGCACCAGGCACACAAGTGCTATAGATATTCATGTAAACAAAACATTCATGTGCATAATAAAATAAAATAATTTTTAATGTAAAAATAAGACTATTAGGCAGTCATCATTTCTATATCTCTGTGTTTTAGAGTCCAAGCCTACTGGAGAGGGTACATCGTTAGAAAGTGGTACAGAAATCTAAGGAAAATAGTCCCTCCTATGGATGCCAAGTTAAGGAGAAAGTTCTTTGAGGAAAAGGTGGGTGTGTACCACTACCTGCTCACACACACATGGTCTGTGTGGGTGAATATTCGGGACTGGTAAAGCCAACAGGCAGTGAGACTGCAGCTCCCTTCACTTCTAGAACTTTTTGCTCAACTTAGTGGACTCCAACCTCATTGCATGAAAAATGGCATTCAAATCAGCTTTGGTTTGACCATTGTGTGCTGTTTGATGGTACCATTTTCTGATAAAATAAGGCAAAATTGAGCTTTTACAACTCTAAGAGTCCCCAGTTATGCTACAACATCAGTGGCTGAACTTTGTGGGATCACCACATTACAGAAAGAGACAGCTCCTGCCTGTGCTTGCTTATGCTCACTTTGCATTTTTTAATGTTACTTGGCAGGGTGTCGGGTGTCTTAGCTAGGGCTTCTGTTGCTGTGAAGAGACACCGTGACCATGCCAACTCTTAGAAAGGAAACCATTTAATGGGGCAGCTTACAGTTCAAAGGTCCATTATCATGATGGGACAAGGTGGCATGCAGACAGATATGGTACTGCAGAGGTAACTGAGAGTTTTCTGTCTTGTACAGGGAAAGGAAGTGGTCTGAGACACTGGGCATGGCTTGTACATGTATGAACCCTCAAAGCCCACCCCTATGGTGACACACTTCCTTCAAGCCATACCTCCTAATAGTACCACTCCCTTTAGGGGCCATTTTCTTTCACACCACTACATGGGAGGTGCATGTTTAACATGTCTCCATTTGAACAAAAAGGATTGGCAAGTGTTAGAAGTAACCAGCCTGAACAGAGAACCTTTCTTGCGCCTGCTCCAGGATGGCAGATCTAGCCACCATGGTGGGGGGGGGGGGGTGCTTTGGAACTCTTTCCCTCACCTTAATGTTCACTGCAGGTCTAAAAATTAATTATAAAGAAACACATAGTAGGCACAGAAAATCTTATATTTGTTGCAAACATTGGTATCTTTCCAAGTTAATTTTCATGTACATTGTTTTAGGTTTGCTAACAGTCTGTGTTAGTTTATGGTAACACTGTTGTATCCCAGCATGCCAACCTCAGATCACTGGGATAAACTCCTCAGCCAGACGTGATGATCCATATCTCTAGTCTGAACACTTGGGAAACTGAGGTAGAAAGACTGGAGTTTGAGGCTAGCCTAAGCACCATTGCAAGACCCCATCTCAAAAAAGAAAAGGATCATGCTGGAGAAATGACTCAGTGGTTGAGTGCACTGACTGCTCTTCCAGAGGACTTGAGTTCAATTCCCAGCACCCACATGACAGCTCACAGCTATGTGTAACTCCACTTCCGGGGGATCTGATGCCCTCCTACAGACATACCTGCAGGCAAAACACCAATGCACATAAAATAAAAAAAAATTAAAAAAAAAAGTGAAAAGAGAGCCAAGATGTTAGCTCTGAGAAAAAAAGAAGAAGAAAAAAAAAGGATCCCATCTCATAGTCACACTGTGCTGTCCGTCATTCCCTATGTAGGTATCATTGACATGTTTAGTTTTGCCGTGTGTTCTTTCATTTAGGATGATGAGTATAACAGACAGCCTTAATTTAAAACATGCTTACTAATTTTAAAAAAACAATAAAAAAGAAAGAAAAACATGGTTCTTTATTTTCTTACTATTTTCCTAGTTATTGCCACATTTAGGCACAAAACTGAGTGATCACAATCACATAACTCCTGGTCTCATCAGACACTCATTTGCCTAGAGGAAGAATTGAGAGTGTCTATGACCTTGTGTATGGCTTTGCCCTTACCTGGGTGAGCCAGACCATTTTAACCGTGCTAGAACAACATTTATTAAAGCAAAATAATTTTTCCTAGTACCTTTCCTAGGCACTGAAGGGACTGGTATCAACACAAGACACCCCAAGACCAAGTTGTCAGCACAGAGGAGATTTATTTGCCCCAGAGGGACAAAGTGGAGGAAACAAGGGACAAAGACAAGAGATAGAGGACATGGGAGAAGGAGAAGGAAAGAAGGGAGGGAGGGAAGAAAGGGTATTTATTCCGGAAGGACAAAAGACTGCCTCTGGATAGAGAGGAGACTATCTATTCAGGCATGGCCCATAAGCAAATGGCAGCTTATGAACATAAAAGGGGAAACCTTGTGTTGAATAAGGTTTTTTTATTATGATTATTTTTATTGGGCATGTTAATTAGGTGAACCAAAGGGGGCGTTTGATTGTTGGATTTCAAAATTTGATGGATGAACCTTTCTTAGTCAGGCTCAGGAAGAGGAAGGACAAATAAGGGAGCAGACCTTGGTGGCTAGCTTTAGGAATGCCATCTAATGGGTTCTAGCAAGGCAGAGGGAGTTGGAGAGAAGGGCAAGGGCTGCCAGAGCCATATCTGCCATGCTTGGACTGACTAGAGCCCCTTCAGGCACTAAAGTCTTTGTTCCAAGCAACGCAGTTACTAGAATATGTTAAACTAGAACATTTGGCATGTTGTGGTTGTCACTGTTCCTCATGTTTAGTTAAGAACTCTGAGTTTCCTTGAAGAGTAGGCTGGCATCGGATGTGATGTGGATGCTAAGCTAAGGGCTTTGCACACTGCATTGTGAAGTCAAAATAGACTGGGGTGGTGGCTAGAAGATACCAGAGGTAGAGGTACTGCTTGGTCTGGCTGAAAAAGCTCTTACTTTTGGCTATAAGGAGACCCAAAGGCAAAGGCTACTGGGCCTGCCTACCAAGTTGGATTTGACCAAGAACAAAACAAAATATCTCAAAAAATTTTGACCTCTCCTAGCTGAATAAGGAACGCAGAATGTCTGGGGTAGGGATGAATTTCTAAAGAGAATTCCTCATTCCTGTCTAATGTTGGGTGAAAAGATTCCTGTTTTCCCACTTACCAGATTCTTTCTCAAACACTGCCATTTATAGAAGAAATAAAAACTGAGTAAAAGTCCAGATCATTGACTAGATGAAAAGAATGTGTCTGTCTTCACTGTCTGGGGTGAGCGGTTTCTCTTCCCCATAAAGAAGGCAGCACGCAAGCCTTCCTTCTAGGTCTCATCTCTGTCTCTACTCGTTAGTCAGGATGATACCCTGAACCAAACTGGGATAGGCACTTTGGGCCAACTTATAGTTTTCTGAACATCTATCTTTAGAGCTCAGTTTCATCTTCCATCCAGACTGATGCCTTCTACAATTGTTCTCATCTTTCTGTGTTTTCCTGTGTATTACATCTAGTGGATTGATGGTCAGAGTTGTTCTCTGAGACATTCTTAGTAATTATTTTTTGTTTTTTCTTAAGACAGTCTCATGTTGCCTAGGTTGGTCCTAAGTTCATAAGTTGAAGTGTAAGCTGTGACAACAGGCAAAATACCACTGAGCTGGAAGCTCTTTATAATTTCTATATGCAATAATATATGGCTTACAAGTCAGTGTCATTGTTTGCTTTTGCAAAATTTTAAGTAACTATCATCTATATGTAGATAGTTTATTCATGTTTACATGTAATGACTTTGGAAAGTCTAGGCTATACTTCTCTGTCACATAAAGCAGTCATGACAATCAGCTGATGTCCTCACTACACTAATTTATCTATAAGGGTGTGACATAGAAGATTAACTTACATGGTCTGAGAACGTGTGAAGACCCAATGCTTGTGGTTGTTTTCAGAGCCCCCTGATGTTATGAAGGTTCATGAGGCTGTATTCTTAAGCTAAGGGAGGCCCAGTAGTGTCTGAGACCCAGCCCTGGTGGCTCTGTTCCATGTCTTAAAATGCTTTTCAGACACCTAAAACATTTGTTGTATCTTTACTTGCTGTAAATGAACCCCACTGTCATTTTTCTTGGAGCTTTTTAAAGTCTCCAAATAATTTCTCCCATGTAAGAAAACACAGTTTCAGTTTCTCTTAATAGTGACAAGGAAAACTAGGACGAGCCATCAAATGAAGGCAGATCTCTCTGCTCACCACCTTCTTCTATCCTGCAGGGAAGAGCTGAGAACCCTTGCACAAAGGCTCCTCTTGGCTTTATGAGTCTATTACAGCATCAATACCACTTCTCTGAAAAGGACTCTGTGGTCTGAGGCTCTTGATAACAACCAAGAACAAACTATTTGATGTTCATGGGGCGGGGGGAAGCAGACTAAAAGTGAAAGGATGAAAGTCAGTATACTAAGGAAGTAGAAGCTGGGAGCAAGCAGGAATAGTTATGCTGATAGCTGAGAAGGCAGGTTTGAAGGGTTGGAGAGATGGGTTAACTGATGACATGTTGCACAAGCTAGAAGACCTGATGCTCAACACCCAGATAAAAGTAGCATCGACAAGGTACAGGAGGACTTTGGGAGCTTAGTGGCCAGCCAGCCTAGTTAAGTGAGAGACTCTCTTAGAAAAGTTAAGGTGAAGAGCAATTGAGAAAGATACCAGACATCACTTTCTGGCATACACTAGCACCTGCATACACACATACACAAGAGAAAAAAAGCAGACTTTAGTCAGAAATTTGAAGCAATAAATAAGGTGATTACAATTTTATAAACTACATCAAGAATGTGCAGTGATGGAGGATATAAGCCCTGGACATTGGTATACCCTGCTTTGTAAATCATACACTCCTGGATATTAAGGGTCATCAGGCCCAGATATGATAATATGGGAAATAATTACTCCTACTCTCACCAATAGAAAGATAACAGACCCAAAGCTCAACAGAGAAAACTGCTGTAACTCAAATTGACATGTAGGGATTGTTATATCCAACAGCTATGAAACAAAGATTCTTCTCAGGAGCCTATGGGATTTTTCTCCAAAATAGATCACATTTTAGTCCATAAAGCAAGAGTCAATAAATAAAAAATAATAATAAATGATGCATCAGATCACAGTGGCATAAAAGAAACCCGTAACAAGAACTTTAGAACCTACATATGTATAGGAGCAAATATGCTTCTAATGATTGTGAAGACACTGGGGAAGAAATTGTAAAGCTATAAAAGAATGAGAAGGAAAGCAGCTTATTAGAATCTTGGCAATGTAGGGGAGCTCA